TTTAGGAAAATATATATATATATATATATATAACAACCTATTTTGTAATTGAAATTTATTTATTGGAGCAATAGATATTTTACTTAGGGCAGCTTTGTTTAATATATATGTGTTATATAGAAATATACATACATATATATGAGAATGTGTGTCAGTTATATACTAATTAATACGGAAAGTGAAAGTGAGTGTATATATTGATTGCAATTGCGACATTATATGGTTCAGCTTGTCGTAAGGTGTGTAAGTTGTAATATTATATATGTCTTGTTTCGTTTTGTTTTGTATTGTAGAGTGGATGTGTGATAATAATAATTAAGAAAGTAGAGATGAGATATGTAGGAAGTAATAATTAATAAAGAAAAAAGGGATAAAATAGAGGAGGGATGGGATGGAAAGTTTTGGTATGCAGCCAGCGGGCATGTCTTCTTTTCATCTGCTAGCTTTCTTCTTCTCTTTATCTTTTTGGTTGTAAATGTGTACCCTTTTCTTGGAAGATGACCTTTTAGTCTCCATGTGCCTCTCTATCGCCTTCAATCCATGCCTCTCACTTCTCACTTCTCACTTGTGTGTTGTGGGTCACCTCACACATGCAAGACAAAACACACCCCAATTTTCAATCTCTCTCTCTTCAAACTTCCACGTGTCCCCGGCTGATGGCGATAGCATGGACCTTCCATGCAACCGAGTGAGTGCCCAAAAGCAGCATTCCAACAAAAGTAAAAAGAAACAAAAAGTGATGCACAAAAGAAAAAAGAAGGTTAATAAGTAGCGAGTGGCAGTGGCTGTTTGTGGCAGTGGCAGTGGCAGTGCTAAACAAAAACATGTCACGTAGTACGTTACGTTGGATGGGAAGAATATAATAAAGATATATAGGCCAGAGAGCCGAGAGGAGTGGCTAATGGCCGGGTGATGGGTAATGGGTAATGGCTTAGATCTATGTGATCTACACAGGAGACTGATTCCTTTAGTTTGGCATAGTATAGTATAGCTGGGACGATACAGGCTACAGGAGATATCTGTACATACAACACACAACATTTTTCTTTTCTAATTGTTTGGAATCACAATGCTAGCTACGATATAATGTGGTGCTAATTATTTAGAGCAAAGAGAGAAAAGTTGGCCAACAAAGCCTAAGAGAGAAAAGTTGGCCAACAAAGCCTAATCATGAACTGAACTGGGTTGCAGCTAGGGGCCCATGGCTTAGGCATCTCTCAGCTTTTATTTATGTTAAAAAGTTGAGAGATGAGTAGTGATGACTCAAGAAACAGACCATGTGAGTGGGGGAGACTCATCTTTAAATCCAAAAAGAGAATTTTCCCACTCAAACCTCTAAAGTCAAAGTATCAATTCACCCCCTCCGCCTTCCTTTTTCTAAAAGAAACCAACCCCCCAACCTACAATCATACACTACCGCTCTCTCCCTCTCTCCCTACAATATTAACACACTACCCTTCCCTAACTATTTTGATAATTACTCACTAACACTCACCCTATACAACATCTCAACATCTAAAAATTCAATCGTCATCAACATTAGCATCCACATCTACTCACTCTCTTTGAAATTTGAGATTCAAATCTCCACACCACACTCGTTGTACTAAATTGATATATAACTTAATCACCGCAAAGACAAATTATTAGAAATGGGTAATATAATCTCCCTCCTGATTATTAATATATAATTAAACAATATTTTTTATTTTCTTTCTCATGCATACCATCTATCGGTCATATAAAAGTGAGAGCCAACATTATAAATGATTTCTCATACTGGTACTGAAGAGATACAGCCGATGGAGTGAACATGAAAAGCAACAAATAGATTGGAGAGTTTGACACCATATGAGTATGGAGATAGTAAGCTTTAAACTTTTTAGTCAATGACTTAATTTGGCAGTTGAGGTAGAGAGTTGAGTTTTTGAACAAAATTGGGTAACAGATTGGAAATCAACTGGAAGGGGCCCCTGGCGCAGTGGGCTCCTTAGCTTGGGCTTCTGGATCTTGGGTGGTGGTCTCAAGGGGTTTGATCCGATTGAATGGAGAGAGAAGGAGGAGAGTGGCCATGGAGAGGAATGCAAGGAAGAGAATGGCAGTGGCAATATTTGCCTTGTCAAAGAAATCATCTATCAAGGACTCCTGCTGATCCACTGCTGGAATGAAGAGCTCGTAGTCGCCAACAGCATTCTTAATATTTTCATCCACTAATCTTTTAAGCTCCGCGGTGACCGCAAAGCCAGCCCCAGCCGCGGAGGCCAACACCCAGGCTAACACCTGCATTGCCCATTAAAAATTAGTTCCGAATTAGAATTTAATTGAATTGTGAAGTGAAGCGATTTTCACCAACCTGGTCTGCGTAGTAATTGAATTGTGGGAGGCCATTCCAAAATGGTATGTTTTGAGTGAGCACATGGTAAAGGGAGAAACCCAGCTGTAATATTGTATGGGCCAACCCTATAATTGCAATGGACAACACGTACCTGCACCAACAGTATACCCACAGCACAATTGTATTGTAATTTGTAGGTAGTGAATTTACAAAGGGAGAAGATAATTGAAGATGGATGAGATGATGAGAAGAGCACAGATCAGAACCTGTATCCGTGAATATCATTGAAGGTTGCTTTATAGCCATCAATGAGGGCTAGTTTGTCAGTGGCAATTACGACTAAGGCGATGAGGAGACATATGAAGGTGAAGCTTCTAAGACCGATCACGATGAATGCTACCACCTTAGGATCCATCGATCTTCCACTTCACCTTCCTTCTTCCTATATTGCAACCTTTGCTTCTTTTATAACGCCAAAATTCCGCCTTGGTTACATCATTGGAACAAGGAGCCAGCCAACCCAGCTTTGTTCATGTCTCCGTACCTTCGAATCAATGTCTTTTAGTTTAGGCCAATGGACATTACCACAACAGCTGGCTTCCCTTTTTTCTTTTAATTACTCTTCTCCTCTTCCTTCATTTCAAATCTACACTTAGTATGGTAAATTTTATTTTAAATCCAAACCATACCATCCATGGCTTAAATAAAACAGTCACAATTTTATTTAAATTTAAATTACTCGATAACGTACGACCTTTGAGATTTTCTTTCTTTCATTCATACTTAATAATTAATATATAGTTTTATGTTATTTGAAAAAGTTGCCAACCAAACGAATTCAATCCATGGACGAGTTTTTGTCATAAAAGGGTGTTGGAACTTGAGAGCAAGTGAGAGGAAGAACAATAATGTATTGGACAAACTTCAGATTAAGACAAAAGTGTTGGTGTTGGGACTAATATAATGGTACAAACTGTTTCCCAAATTCGTGCCTGGCACGCTCATCCATCTGCCACCACGCTGCTCTGCTCTTAGAGCATAATATCTAATGAAATTGCTGTTCCCTTTTCAAGACATTTCACCAAAAAAAGACAAAAAAGAACTGCAGGTACCTTTTCTACATAGAAACCTATGAATATGAAAAGTTGAAGAAACATAACTGGTCTCTCAGTATTGAGCAATGAGTTCCAGGACTACTCGCACTTGATGGATCGATATATGTGGCGGACAAAAAGCAAAGCGGCTCGAAAGCCTACGCTTCCAAGCATCAGGAAGAAGCCATAGCAGACACAAGCCATGTAGCCAAAGAAAAATGATGTTTGCATAAACCCAGACATATCTGAGCGAGCGTAGTAGTAGTACAAACAATACGCATAGATAAATAAGCCAGTTGACCCACCGCAAAGAAAAGATCTGCAAAACAAGTTCAACAAATTAAGCATGGCTTTATATTCCAAGCTACAGGGCTTGAAATGCTAGACATATTAGGCAAATATAAAGGAACAGTTTAATAGTTCTATAATATATCAAAGAAATCCAAATACCTACATAAACTGCCAACGGATCGAATATTGCTAATATCAGCACATAAAGGCAATCTAAATATTCAAGGGTTCATGGATAAAATTTTAAATCTGACTCTATGACAAGGTCCTAGAGAAATGTGTTCAATAACAAAGAATCAGAAAGTAACACTCGTCACAAACAAAAAGTTTTGAGATCTGACAATAACTACCATGAAAATCTGATAGAAATGTTCAGCAGGCAGAAGAATGTTAATTTCCTCATAAAAATGCCTTTCTTGGAGGCTTAAGCAATCAATTTTTCAAAGTAAAAAGCTACGAAAAAGGTAATGCTCAAAACAGGGGAAAAGGAGGAGGGGGAGAAAACATGATGCTGTTTCTTTCTCAGGAACAACTCAATCATTCTAAACAACTATCAGGAACTTTCAGAACTTTTACCTTGTAAACAAATAAATTTCTCATGAATGCCAATGTTCAACTAGAAACCATTTCATAATTAGTGAGAACAGGCTTTACCCTTCCTCTATATCATCAGAAATTTGGATTAACAAATTTGGAGATAGAAAAGAAAGTTGAGCAAAAACGATATCCACCAAAAAGTTCTCCTAATAACTAGTATTACAAGGAAAAAGGATAAAAAGAAAACACAAAAGAGCATAACGGCAAAAGTTGTAAAACTACTACAGAATGCATAGACTAATCATTAGCTAACTACAAAGGAGTAGCAGTTGCATACCTCCACCACCATTCATGGTCCTCAGCAGCAAGTTGGAAGTATGTTAATGCCACAGTGATGAATGCAGTAACTATCAGGAGAATAATGAAGACAATAAACAAGATGCTGTATATGGTGTAAATCCTGTGGCCCCACACGCTGGCAAATATGTAGTATAACTCAATATATATGGCACTGAAAGGCAGAAATCCGGCCATTGCCATCTGAGGAATCGTCCCACGGTACCAGGGCAAAGGTGGAATCTCTCTAGGATATTTGGTGGTACGAACTGGAGCTTGAAATTCAGCCTTGCTGTTTTTACCAGCAATCCCACCCAACACCAGCAAAGGTGATGTTACAAGAGTCCATATGAGAACTATTACAACAATAGTACCAAAAGGAAGTGCAGCAGTTGCTGTATAGGCAATTGCTACGGTATTTAGAAAGCAAAATGTCAGAAACAAAGGCCCACAGAAAAGGCATCCCGTCAACAGTAGATTCCTAACCTATTGATGAGAAGTTGAGGACCTTGTTAGCACAAAATACTGAAGTAATTGAAAGAAAAATAATTTAAAGAGTACGTACCCAGTTTGTTCCCTCGAGCTGGCAATAAAACGAAGTTGCAGTGTAGCCCGCAATCCCAGATGTGAGAGCATAGATAACAACTAGTGCAGTAAATAATGCCCCTCGGTTGTATGGATAAAACACTCCAACAAGTGCAAGTATGAAAATGAACACCGTGCTGTAGAGATACATGTTTAGTGTAATTAATTTAAAAGATATTGGGGATAGAAGAACCAGAAGTTTTCTTTTCAAATATTTGCTTTGATGGTTGACAATATATATTATTACTTACAGTGTGAACAGTTGGGTACCAGAACCAAGACAGGCTGCGAAAAGAGACTTGTGTTTTGGGTACCTAAATACATCCCCATGTATGTATTTCCATCCAGTCTCTTCCTGGTCCTCAGCCGATTCCTCATCATGGGCATATCTATATCATAGACACGAAAGGGTAATTATAAGGGCAGTGGCTCCCTGAGAAGGCGCTAATTGAAATGACGGGCAAAACAGACACTTTAAAAAAAGTACTAAATCTTCTTACTTGACAAAATCGTTCTTAAGTACTCGCATAAGAATGGTCGCAAGAAATCCAGTAAGGAGGAGGACGGTTACACATGAGTTTATAATTGAGAACCAATGAATTTCTAAATGATGAGGCAGGGACGATGATTGTGAGTACTTGTCCATCCTATTCTCAAAAGGGGTATTTGTCTCCTTCCATTTGACAGTGTATAGAAATTCGACATCAACTTCCTTATCCTCTGTGAGATCCACAAGGGCATTGGGGTCTGTTCTAACATTTATTTCAATAACACGATCCTTGTTATAAAAGATATCAAAATGGATATGCTTGTATAGGTAATATTTGAAGTCACTTGGTTCTTTTCCTTCCTTGTCAACCTTCCCTATGAAACCCCAAATTGGCAAATCATCGTAATACATCTGAAAGTAGTAGTCCTTGTCTACTGCAGCACGGAACCTAGCAACATCTTCCTTTGAAAGTGTTTTCTTGCAAACAGCAACAGATTCCTTCTCTTGCAAGAAGTCAAGTTTGTATGGGGCACTAACTAAACGATCACCATTTAATACTTCACCGAGAGCCTCCTTTTTCTCCTTAACATGGTCTGCAATTTAGATTCATCTTATTGGTTTGCCATCTAACATATATATTTACAGAGCGAAAAATGTGTTTTATGTGTGTTTTGGGGAGCCCGGGGGAGGGGGAGGAGGGATACAAACCTGGCATGCAGAATGGGAGATCAAAGTAGCGGTAAGTTTCACTGCAGCCAAGAAAAAGAATTGTAACATGTGTTAGAGAAAATCTGGTTTAGCAAATTACTACACCTCCAAACGCGTGTGCAGCTACTCATATACTTTCCATAAGTTAGGGTCTAGAGTACAAATCTTACTTCTATGAACCCAAACTAAGTTAGCAAAAAAATGAAGCTAATCTTTTATCCTGAAAGATGGAAACTCGGATATACTAGCAATAAGGCATGCCACGAAACCAAATCAATGAGTTGTCACTTTGTTAAGGAATGAAACAGAATACTGAAGATGGGTATCGCAAGTGTCTTGAATATTCCTTGTGTATTTAACAGTAGGCGAAATTTTTCAAAAAAATTGCAGGAAGTTAGCTCTTAGATTTAGCAGATCAGAAGTGACATTTCGCAGTCAACGCATTGACTGCACAAATGAACTCAGATCTGGATTAAAATCACCAAATCTACAAGTAATTCAATCCAATGAGAGCTTGCGGCTACAAGTGTATGAACAAAAAAGCAGAGATAAAGTCCTAGATCTTTGAAGGAGAAGGAAGTAGGAGATTTGAGGTGAATTACCTCGGGTTATGAAATGGGCCAACTTTGTTGGCATAGAGAGGAACAGATTCTCCATCTTTATAGCGATGATCCGATCCATCAGATCTCACCCGAACAGATCCGCACAAGAGAACAAGTAAGGCGATGAAGAGCACCGCCCCAAATCTTCCCATTGTAAAGGAAGCAGAGAATGGTTAGAGACGAGCAGGGATTGGGATTGGGATTGAGAGAAGAGAGAGAAATGGGGGAAGAAGGGCTAAGAAGAAAAATGATGAGGCCTGAGAGGAGGGGCGTTGTTTTAAGGCCGGAAGTCGATTGGGAGTTGGGTTAGGGTGGGGGCTTGTTTGCTGGGCCTGCTCCCGACTCCTGACTCTTGAGCCAACGCTCACACACACACTGAAACTGAAAGAGATGTGGCGTCGTTTAAAGACGTTTGATGCCTCACCTACGGCTACAGTGCCACCGCCACGGGCACCTTTCCTTTTACGCTTTCCTCAACCTTTGACATTATATTCTAAATCTTTTTATTATCTCTTCCAACCATTTAATTGAGTTCGGTGACAATTTAATACGATATTTTGAATAGCATCCACTCTTTCTATTTTGCCAATTCAAGCATAAATTAGCACATAGTGCCATCCTTGAGGTGTTTGGTTTCGATTAGCAAATTTGAATAATTTATTAAATATAAGTTGTTAAGTCTGTATTTGAATCATGTAAAAAATAGATTTGTTAAACTTGTATTTCGATACTGCTTTTTTAAGTTTCAATTTGTTAAAACGATTGGAAATTTATAATAAAATAGTTCATATATTAATTATTTGATTGAAATAATTAGAATTGTATTAAAAGTTTTCTTTTCTTATAAGATTAGGAAGTATATTTAGTATAAATAAAAAAAATTAATACATTACATTTTTTCAATAATTATTTTATAAAATAATAAATTTATTTGGTTAATTTACCACAAAATAACCATTATCAATTATTTGTTCACTTCTTGTCCCACTAATTAAACTTATTTACTAATTATCATCCAAATTACCCTTCAACTTAAATTTTCTTTTCTTTCTTAACCAATATATTTGTTAAAAAGTTAACATATTTGAAATAGTAATTATTTAAAAGTTATTAACTTCAACACAAACTAACCAAAATAGTTAAATTATCTTTAATAAATTATGGTAATACGACTTTTATATTACACTAATAAAAAGAGCTTAACAAAACTATAGAATTAGATAAATTAACTTATTAATTAGATTGTAGAAAGTGTGTGAGTTTGGAATTTAAAATAAAACAATTTAGATTATCTATATGGTATATAATTAAAAATGTAATAATATTTATTTAGTAACTAAAGCATGGATAATTTATTTTTAATACAATTATTAGTCTACGTTTATCTTTAATCATTTTTTCGTGAAATAAATATTTAATTAGTTTTGTAATAATTTTTTAAAATATTTTTTGAAGTGCGAACGAAGGTACTTGCATATAAATTTATCATTATGATTGCTATAAAACATGAAGTTTATAACGAGTATAAATGAAATTTGGGTTAAATTGGTTTTCCTCAAAATCGACACATAATTTGAAGAAAATTAAACTAAATGACCATTATGATTTCAACCAATCATATTAACCGTCAAAGTGAGCATAGTTCGACGGTATTTGACATATATCTTCAATCGAGAGGTTGTGAGTTTGATCCCCACCCTTATATATTGTACTAAAAAACTCAATTGCACAATTGGACTAATTCGACTTAACTAATTTCTTCGTTTTTAAATTTTAGTTTTTACTCATAAAGTTTACCATTAAAAAAAATGGCCAATATATGAATTAATTATTTATTACTTACAGTTTAATTAAATTCATTTACTGGTTTATTATTCAAATTATAATTAATTAATTTTTTTATTTAACTAATATATTTCATTAAAAAGTTAATATACATTTTAGAAGAAGACTCTAGACAAAATATGCACTCTGACGAATGTAGGGATGATCATTTTCCTCTAGAGATAGCCRTGCGGGAACTTGCCTAAATGGAACGGAGAATCTCCGTTTAAATTCCTCACAGTGATGAGAAAGTTTTATCCCCATCACCTAAATAGGAATCRGAATGTTACCCATCCCTATTCCTCATTCCCTACCTCCCGCTCCACCTCACTTTTATGTATATATGTATATATCCGATATTATGGATGCTTGGTTACCATACCAGATATCACCGACCCTTTAGTATACTTCTTGTTAATAGCACATACCCTTTAATATACTAATAAAATTTGGATATATATACTAATAGAATTTGCATGCATACATATATTTACACAAGCTCATAGAAATAGAATTTATATATAYACACACTAAAATATTCTTATTGTTTCTCTATATATATATAATAAAACAAATTATATTATTATCTCCCCCCTCAAAAGACGATGTAAATAAAGTTTTATCACTGAAAATTAAATAATTAATTACTATTTTTCTTAGAAAAATATATTTAATTGATAAATAATTTTAAAAATAAAAGAATAAACGGTAAAAATCTACATGCAGAACCTTTTTCAAAATTTTATGGGGAATTTTACAGGGATGAAGAATTAATTACATGGGTGGGGATGAGTTTTCATCCACCATACCCCATAAACTAGAGAGTAACGAAACTATAAATTACTGTAGCAACTTGACGAATAAGGATAAAATCCTGTAACAACTTGAGGATAGATTACCTTTTCCTAAGAACAATAGGAAAGTTTAAGCTGAAATATCGAATCATATTGAATAAGAAAGGCGGGCTTAGTAGGTGTCTTCAAACGTATAAACCAAACTCATAATCAATCAGTCATGCAGATGAAACATGAGTTTGACTTGACGGCTAAACCCTATTCCTCATTTTGAAAACAGTGAACCAAACACCTCTTTGAAGATTGATGGTTCAATCCTCGCACCTCCAATCGTTCAACTAAAATAAATAAATCAAACCGAACATAGTTCAATTAGTTAAGACACTCATCTCCGATTAAAAAGTTGTGAGTTTGAATCTCCACTCATGTACCAAAAAACATTAAAATTAAAATTGAAAAACTCATTCTATTTGATGTTAATAATTCATTTAACTTTATATAATTATACTCAAATTTATTTATAAAAGCTAACACGGGCATAAATCGTTTGAAATTTTATTTTGAAAATATTAAATTTATATTCATTCAACAACTTCTTTCTCGAAAAAGATAAAAAAGAAATGCTTAATTTCTTATATCTAGCAGTGATCTTGGAGCGAAGATGACAACGAACTAGGTATGAGTGACTAATTTAGAAATATTAATTTCCCTAATTAGATAACGAGATGCAATTACACACTCCAACCATTTTCAAGTCAAAGTCATTTTCTCTCTTTTATTATTAGGTGGAGATAAAAAAACTTATGCGCTGTAGTGATCAAAATGTCATATATTCACTTTAAAGACGATAGTATATAAGACAAATTGTATATATTTGTTTATCCTTTTGATATTGGTTTTCATTTCGTTACATAAAGTTGGAAAAACTACCTTGTAATTATTAAATAAAATCTATAATATATAATCTATAACATATTAAAAACTACCATGTTAGAAAAAGTATATTAAAAAGCTACCATCTTGAAAAAAATATTATTTTTGAACCATTATACTTTTGTATTCTAATAACTTTAATTAATAAAAATATTAAAAGTGTCAAAACGAATATAACTGGTAATTGACATATATCTCCAACCAAGAGGTTGCAAGTTCGATGTCCCACCCTTATATGTGGTACTCAAAAAATAAAATAAAAGTATTAAAAGTTATGAATATGGAGAACTCTTTTTTTAAAAAAAAAAAATAAATATGAAGAACTTGGATATAGARTCAAATTGTTGTTCAACGTATTGAGAAAAAAATGGCATACTAGAATCAAATTAACTAGTAAATCAATTATAGCATAATAAACTTTAATGACATGTTTGAGAGTGACAGTAGAATGAGTGTTTTTTTAAAAAAGACTCATGTATAATTGATTTTTCAAATCTGATGCCCTTCAAAATCAATTTAAATTTATTTTACTTTTTGAAATAAATTTAAATTGATTTTAAACTTACATGAAATAAAATTTTTAACGTGTAACAAGAAATGAAGTGATTCTCTTTGGAAAAAAAACAGTACAAAGAGATTAGACTCTCGGATGAGACTAAGCAGCCACCGACCGTTCCAACGCCCCTGACCTATCTTGATTAAGACCGAAAACCTATAAAAAATGGAGCCTAGAAAAAGCTGTCAAACAAATGATAGAATGGAATATTCTGAATATCCACTAGTAGGGATATGGATGGAGTCTCTCTCAGTAAAGAGAGTTGTAGATTCGTAGGAAAGGAGAGGAGCCGTCGACTTTCGAAAACTATTAGTAAAGCGCTAACGCGCCCCTGCCATMTTTCTAAAGCAACAAGCGAGAAAGTTGCCCCTTTTTCAATAACAAAAAAGAAAAGATGGGTCCACTATTAGATAGTAAAGATAAAAGTGATTGTCAAAATTACTCTCTAAATATTGTACTAATTTTTCTAGGGATCATTTATTGGCTGCCACATGTCAACATCACATGCAATCATCTCAACTGCACCTTTCGAGTTGATACAAGTCTTGACAACTCCGCAAGAGACGGTCGATCTGAGATGCGTTTTACCTTTCAGCTGACCTGTATCAGGTAAAAGCCGACCTTGAAGAGCACTTGTAGACTCAAAGGCAACGAGAATGTTCTCCAACAACATGACGCAATTTTTCGAGATGTTGGAGAGCTGTCTGAAGCGTGTAGGGAGCCACCTCTATAAATAGAGATCCCTACCTCCTACGCAAAGTACTCAAAACTATTCTCTCTGTCAGCAATAAATCAGATTGTGTACTAGTAATATCGTCAATATGTTAACCTTATCTTGTAGGTACTTTGAATTTTGGTACACTTCATCTTAACTTCACGACGTGGAGCTTGGTCAATTCCATGACCAAACAAATGTCATGGACAATTTTGTGAAGAAACATGGAATGATTGATTTGATGTGATGAATAAGGAATACCGTCTCATTTATATTCTCTTGCGTCATGATGGTTGACATATTAAAATTATTCATTCTTGAATCATTCCAGGCATCAAACTCTTTAGACCCTATTCGATATCCATATATATATATATATATATATGCGTGTGGATTTGAAAGCTCAATTTAAAAAGGGTCAATATTGAGTTTTAAAAAAAAAGTCAATATCATGCATATCGATTAATATTTAATACGCAAGRCGAATCATATATGACTCAGCAATTTTGGATGACACCCCCAAATTCATATATAATATCATATTACTTAAACTAAAACATCAATTATTTAACCAGACTCATCCGACGGATGATTTTTTTTCATAATTATTATTCGAGTCTCTATTTTTGGAAGGAACGATTGCCTCTATTGGTATATTGTTCTATTGTATTGCAGTACCCAGATATGAAGAATTAAAGAGCAACCTTTTTTTTTCCTCTCCAGAAAATAATTACAGAGGCGATGCGACGGATATCAGAAAATGAAAAACGTAATTAATGGGGAGAAATGAGAAATGATGTGCATARCGATGAAAGCATATAAAATGGTTTAAATGTAAGAAAGTTTAAAATAATGGGAAAGAAACAATGAATGCCTCGAAAAGTATCTAAGTGGCCTTAGGTCCACGAGTTCAATTCGGGACAGCAGGCTCCTAGAGAGAGAGAGGGAAGGGTAGTGAGAAACAAAGCGTAGCAGGCAGAGGCAGCAGCGACACCGCGGAAAGCGCCCATCGCCCTTTGTCACCACCACTACCACTTACCAGCGACCAGCAGGTGCTCCTCTCTTTCACCTCCATTTTTATTTTTATAGAAATTTCCGTTTTCGAGCTCCTGCCCTCTCCCTACTACATATATTTTTAAATCCACATGATTACCCTTTGGGGAAGAAGAACAAAATCGTCAGATCCCGGTTATTTTAGGGTTTCTGAGAATATTTCGTTCTGCCTCAAGATGTCGTCAAAGTGCAGTGGCAATGAAATTAACCTCACTAAATGTCGAGTCCGTTGAGATTGAGGTGATACTGGATAGGCCAACAGAGCGGATTCTGTTGCTTATTACCCCCAAGTGGTTCATTCTTTTTAA